TTTTTTTTCAATTTCATTGTTCACCACTGTGGGATCTTCAGGGTTGTTTTCCCTCCACCACCGGAATTTGGGGGGGTGGAAGTCCACACATCTTAAAGTTGATAAGGTTGAGAAACACTGGACTATACAATGGTTGGCCTTGGCTATTCTGTTTCCTTTTCTTATTTTATCAGTTCTTCTGGTTCTGAATGTTTGCAGTCTTTTGTTTTTAATTCTTTTCTTTTCATGGTTCTCTATAATCGTAAGAGTCGCTTTGTGAGTTGGGCGGCCATACCAATCCAATCCAGTAAATAAATAAGTACTGTAAGCTCAAAAATTCTGGAAACTGGAGAGCTCCATCCAGTTTATGTTTATTGTAGGAGGAATGCACGGTCTGGGGACCACCACATCCCCCTTCTTAGGAGGCCAGAATTTTCTGGTTTGGGGGTTGTAAGCTTATTTGAAGCCTGTTCTGCTCCTTTCTTGTGTTTCCTGCTTCTCACACGTGGCTGTCCCTTCCTTGTGGGGATTCTTGACCTTCTTTGTGGGTATTCTTGACCTGATGCAATTATAAGAGTGATGGAGGAGAGTCAAGTTGAAAAAACAATCCAAAATGTAGGTTGAGAAACATTGCTCTAGTTATCCCATGCATGGCATTTTTTCCCCTTTTCTCTTTCCTGTTATCACCAACCAAGGGAATATTTAACTAGTGTTCCTTCAAATTATGGGTCATCAGGTAACCATGGGCCAGCCTGTTGCTCTCTTTCAACCCACCCTAACTCACCAATCCCCATATAAGCTGCTTTGAGCCCCTGGAGAAAAGGAGGGCTAAAATTGATCAAACAAACAAATATGTAGCTAGTCAGAGCCCACTCTCGTTCTTCAGGCTTCAAAAAATGCTGAATCCCATCTTCTGTACTCCAAGTCTTTGAATCCCAGTTTGGAGGTTGAGGTGGACCATAATCTCTAATCCTCCTTTTAGAAATTCAAGGCAGGTCTTTTATTAGCTTTATTTCCCAGAATGTTGAGTTCCTCCAAACCATCCAACTCTAACTCATCAGAAGACTTGCCTTAGAAACCAAACATCCTTCTGTTCTCATTCCTTTCTATTTCAGCCTCTTTCTAGAGAATACCCAAGACCTAGTTGCCATTGGTCAGAGTATATAACCCTCAGAAGGAATAATCAATAAATTGCTAGCATGGAACAATAAAGTTAAGCAAGACCAAGCATTTAATTCAGCATCTTCAGAGACTTTGTAGACCTTTGCACATCTTCTATCAAGCGATCTTAAATCTGGACAGTAGAATCACTATTCAGCAATGGAGGGTGGCGGAGAGAGGGTTTTATCTCACAGGATTGGGATTTGGGAGAGATTAAAGCCAGGATCTTGAGCTACTGCAGAGCAATGCAGTCCAGAATCACCTCATATCACCCCAAAGTCACCTGTTAACAACATAGGCATCCATGGAGGTTTTTTAATTGGGATTTGACTTTCTTTGGAACTGTATAGAAAATCCACCAAAAGCAATATTAACAAAAGATCAGAACTTTGCTCATTCCAAAATCTCCACAGCAGTAAATAATTACTTACGCAAACTCGCTTAATGCAAGAAGTGTAGTGGAAATATATAACACGCGCACCACTTTAAAATATATTTCCTTTCCCCCTTTTCTGTTCACTCCTTTCAGCTTGAGTCTATTTTGAAAGGGCAGTCCTCTTGAAGAGCAAGCTCTTCGAGGCAAGTTGACTCAGAAGCAAACCTCACTGAATTCAGTAAGATTTACTTCCCACTACGTATGTTTAGAACTTCGTCCACATTTTCTCAGGAAATCTCAGGCAATCTTCCCCTTCCCCATCCCCTGCCCCAATACAGTATCTCAAAGGATGAGATCCTTGGAGGCAGAGAATCTGGCTGAAGGAAAATAGAAGTCACTCGCTTACCCTTGGGGCTGAAATGCTCTTCTCTAGCTTGAACGGCTATATCCCAGCCTTCTCCCAGGCTAAAAAAACTCCTTATAGTCCTCCCTCTGACTCCACTCTTCTTTTTTCTTTGCACTCAACCTCAAGGAGAGGGGAAGAGTTCAGGAACTGAAAACTGCAGCATGGCTGTTCCTTCTGTGTAGCAATGATAATGCAGCATTTTCCCCCCTCTGCAAACTATCAGCACGCTAGCAAACCTGAGTCAGCACTTTTTCACACTACTGCGCTAACACTACTGCATCCAGATTGGGGGGGGGGGGGGGGGGGGGGAGAGGGAGAGGAGTGGGTGAAAGAGTTGGGTAGTAAGGCCAGTAACGATGCAAGTGTGGGAAATAAATGGGGGCAATCACAAGAATGTGGCAACTGAGTGGAATGGAGGAGGAAATAGCCACAGCAAAAAAGTTCTTGTCAACATGATAGCTATCTGATGTGAAGACACAGAACAGAAAGATTTGACAAGGTAATCATGTCAAGAAAATAAAGTTAACCCTCAGCTGTACTCAACTGTCTGCTCAACTCAGCTTGTTACCCAACTTGGCAGCAATACCTTTGATGTTAATTTGAGTGGTTTGCAGAATTCTCACCCTTCCAAGTAGCTGGGTACCATCCCTATCAAGAACCCAGTTGTCCAATAACCCATTGCATGTCCTCTCTCTAATTCCAGCAGGCAAACCTACCTTTTCATTTCCCTTCAAAGCAGCAACAGTGTTTGTCAACATTCTTTGACAGCCGTTTGGGTGTCCTCAGCATTCTGTGACATCAGAGCAATTCACCTAATCACTGGAAGCAGTCACTTATCTCAACATCAACAATAGTGTCCGAGATTGATTAATTATGCATCACCAAGTCAGTGTTGAGTCTTGGTGACCACACTGATAAATCTTCTTCAGGATGATCTGTTCCCAATCTGGCCCTTCAGGTCTTCCAACAGTATACCTATCATCACTTTAATTGAGTCCATCCACCTTGCTTCTGGTTGTCCTCTTCGTCTCTTTCCTTCCATCTTTCCCAACTTTACAGACTTCTCAAGGCAGCTAGGTCTTTGCATAATGTATCCAAATTATGATCATTTGAATCTAGTCGTGTATGTCTCAGTTGAGAACTCTGATTTATTCTGTGATTTTTCTTTGCTATCCATGGTATTCTCAAGAAATTCTCCAAAGTCAAAATTCAAAAACATCAATACTCTTTCTATCCTGCTTCTTCAAATCCAACTTTTGCTTCCATAGAGTGTCACAAGGAAAACCATTGCCTGCACAATTCTGATCTTTGTAGGTGTAGGCAAGTCACAGAAACTAAATAACTTTTCCAAGGCCTTCATTGCTACAATACCAAGTGCTACTCTGTGGGGTATCTCTT